ATACATATTTTACCAAATATTTTCTTTTCATTTTCTTAAATATAATCAATTTTCTCTTTTTTAGTGAGAGACAAACTGCAGTTATTATTTTTTTCTTTTTTAGATTCAATTTTAGGGACAGAAACAGTGCAGGCTTTGAACATATTTTCGTTAAAAAAGTACCTAAAAAAAAAAAAATCAATAAAATATTAGACTTTTGAAAGTATTTAATTTTTAAGAATTACTTTATAGTTAAATAAGCTGGTTCACTTAAAATTAAAAAATACTGTCACTTCTGTCTGATAAACTTCCCTGACGTTAGTTGTCGATATATTGATGTAAACATCAATTCACACCGCCAAAACCAAACGCCATGGTTAGACATGCTTCTCTTATTGCCAACTAAATTTTTTCTGCTAAAAAAGTAAGTAATGTCTGTTTCAAATTACATTAAGTATACTTTAAATTTTCTAATTTTCCTAAAATAACTTTTGAAAAAGTATAATTGAATTTTACAAGATTTTTAAACAGAATTTCACTTTTGTTTATAAAACTGTTAAAAATGGCTGACGTGATCAATTTTACGTAAATTTTGATAACTCAAAAAAACAAAAAAAAAAGAATTTAACTAAAATTTCAGACATACTAGAAAGGATTAAAAATTTTTTTAAAAATATTCAAAAATACTTTGGTCTTTCCTCTTAATAATAACAAACATTTAGAAGATAAAATAATTGTTTAATCAAGTTTGAGGCCTTTTTTTATCAGTATTGAACATGCCTAATTAATATATACTTATAAGCAAAAGATTATCCTAGCAATGCTGGACTTTAAAATATCATCAAAAATTGTATAAAATACAAAATGTATAACAATTCCACTGTGAAGCTCATCCATCCTAATGGGGGTTTATTCTTAAATAATTAATGTTAAATAAAAATAAGGAAAATAAATTTTATCTATAAGTGGGAATCAATGAAGGCATATAAAGAATTTGAAAAATCAAAATAAACCAATCTAGATTTGACAACATAAAAATATCACACAGTTATCAAGACCAAGAGAAAAAGAAAAGACATTTGGTTTACTCTATATCAGAACTTGTGTCTTGTTCCAGTTCATACCAACTCATTTCTCTATATTTAGTATCACACACTTCCTCATTCATGCACTGTATTTAATCATTTCAAAATAACATACACCCAAACCTAATAAAAAAATACTAAATATTATGTCAATGGTCATCCATAAATTTAAATAATAATTTATTATTTGGTATCAACTTTCAAACACTTGGGGTAAGAAAAATCTTTTTAAAAAATTCAACAAAAATTATTTCTTTCTTTGTATAAAAATCATTTTTCCAGAATTAATTTCTAAGCATCCTTCTAGAAACAATGTGTTGATAACTTCTTTCAAGATAAGAAATGACAAACACAGATAAGAAGGACACACAAATGAAACACAGAAATTATGCATGCAAATCTAAATTTGTAATAGATAAGAGCTACAGAGACAAAATTTTAATGACAATTGTGTTTGGAACATATATAGATATGTAAATAGGTGGATAGAGATGTGTGCATATGAATGCATGATAAGAGGCTTCAGGGTAGATATGAGTATCATTATCACATATACAAGGCTGGAGGATATTGGTGCTAAATATAAAAAAAAATGGTGCAGGATTTAAGAAGGGAAGGAGGGAGATAACTGAAAAAAGGAGGAGACAAGAAGGTGGAGTGCAGAACAAAATCAGAGATCCAAGGAAAGCTGTTAAGTCACTAGCAAAGAAAAAGCTCAAAAGAGGAATGAGAATAGTAGTAGTAGTAGTAGTAGTAGTGGTGGTGGTGGTAGTAGTACTGATAGTAAAGAAAACAAAGCAGCAACTGAGAAGGATGAAGGGAAATTAGTTAAAAAGAATGTAGTGGTCTCACAATTGTTGCTATGGTAATAAGTAATCTAGAACTAGACTAAAACTATTCACAAAATGACAGTGCAGGATAAATTGTTTGCAAGGGAGAATAGTAGTTTCAATAGCAAAATTTTCCTAAGGAAATTTTAGATTTACTTATCAGGATTTGTAAAAATTTGCTTCTGTTCAAGAGCAGGTCAAATAATTTTTATATTTTAGTTTAACAAATTCAAAATCATTTTATAAGTGAAAATCTATTTGTTAAATCATGACAAGTTACTAAAGTCAAAAGACAGTCTGCTTCTGAATGCAAGAGAATTCAACAAATCCAAAAATTTAAAATAAGCAAATTTACAGAAATTAAATGTCAATGTACTTTATCGCATGAGTCTTTCTTTTTAATATAATAATTGCAAAAAGACAAAAGCTATTGTAATTCTTCTTGAAAATATGGTTTTAAATTCAGCAAAATAAATTCACATATTCAAAATAAAAATTAGGATTATAAATCCAAAAAGAGAGCGGCTAACTTACCATCCATGCATTATCATCTGATTAGGGAATATGGCAAACTCTAAGAGTGATAAATATTAATAAATATTTTCAGTTTAATATTAGAAGCATATCAATAAATTGTAACAAAATCAATAACCAAAAATAAATGCTCGATTTGAAATTTTTACTTTATCTCAAGACTGCAAAATGTTGAGCAGCAAATGAAAAGTAAAACAAAAATACAAGTGAATAAAAGCAACCCTGGATCTCTTTTGTGTAGGAAGTTAAAAATGTTAGAAGTAACTATTGACCTTTCATTAATTGAAAAGGTTTTTTTCCAATGCCAGTAATAAAATAAGATTAAAGATGTAGTTCCTGGATGGAAACCTGCAATAATGCAAATCTGGCAGAGCAGAAGATAATGCTAAAATTGTGTCATCTTAAAAAACACAAAAAACTGGTGAATTGAATTAAGAACTATTGAGGAACTAGGGATAAAAAGTGTACAAGAGTTAAAGTCAAGAGCCACTTAAAATCCAAAGGAAATATACAATAGCATAAAATGTGATAGGATATTTTAGAAATGACATCAAATGATAAAATATCAGAAATGATTAAATTTGTGTGACACAGAACTCAAGTTTTATAGTGACACAGGTGACCAAAGCGTGCAACTCTACAGTTTATATTAAGGGATGTTACAAATCATCAAAGTGAAAGAACACAATATTTTGAATAGCGTAAAAGGCTGCAGAATAATGTACTAAGGCAAAATAATGTGAAACAGTTAAACACGAGATAGAAGTGAAATTCAAAGAACTCATAAGTCTAGTTTCTCACTAGTCCTCAGTGAAGGCAAAAGACATTTTCTGTGCAAACTCATGGCTTGTATTTAAAGTTCTTTTATCATCTCAACAAAAGGTCTAAAATATTTTCAATAAACATACATATTTTGTTCTAGGTGATATGCAGCCTGAATTATAATTTACTTAGGTGTTTAATATGGGGGGTGGGTCTTAATAATCATTGGTGGGGATTTTCCTCAATATGTACTAAACAGGGATAGGGGGAAACCATTTAAAAGGTCAAAAATGTATGGGGGTGCATGGAAAATTTCTACAAAAAATGAATGTCCAGCTTTTCTATTGGGCACATAAGAGTTTCTACAAGTTATAAAAAGTAGATATACAAAAATTGTAAATTGTTTATGCAGAACCATACATACTTCAAAATTGCCCAAATATTTTATTTTTTCCCAAAAATAGATCTTCAGTCATTATAATCTGATCATTATAATGATCTCAAATCTTTGCACTTTGCAAGAGGTTCGATTTTTATTAATAAACATTTCTAGTTTGCTTGAAATTTGAAGTGATCAAGTTTTTCTTTGGATTACCTTTCTAGAAATATACTTTAATCTATTTTTAAATTAAGAAAGAAAAATATCAATTGTTTTCATATGCTAAAATATAAAAATATATCAGAGAAAACAATATCTGTTGAAAAGGCAAATTTATCTATATTGAAACAAATTGACTCTTATAAAAGTATGATCTGAGATCAAATAAAAGAAATAGTTATCTTTTTATAATACATTTGGTTCTTTGTATAGAATAAATTCATTTTGAAGAAAATTAAACATAATTGTCTCAAATATATTTGATTTCTAACAAAGAAAAAACCATTTACAATTGTAATAAAAGAAAGTAACCCTAGAAAATTAGTTTGTGTTATGGTGTCTTGTACATATAATAATAATAATAATAGCCGATTTAGTTTTAAACAAAATGACTACTGACTGATTGTATAATAGTAAACAAAAGAAACAACTAAGCTAGAGTATAAGAATTGTACATTTGTATTATAAGATGAGTCAAATGCAACGTGTCATTAATTTTATATTCTTATTCTTTAATAAGAAATAGTTAATAATAACCACATATTTTTGAGAAAGAACTTGTCTCTTTCTGTCATACATACATACATTTCATTTAAGATGATTGACAAGGTACTAGTGTTAAGCTTTTCATTATATTTTCCTGCATTCATACAAGTGATTTCTACAAATGCAAAAAAAAAAAATCATAAAAAGCTTCATCACAGTGCTTTGTCTGTTGTCTTCCATGAAACTTGGATATAAGATGGATTGCTGCCTATATATATATATATATAAAAAGGAGGTTAAGATACAAACATGCTGTAAAGTAAACATTGATAGTATTAAACTAATTCTATTGCAATGAGTAACATGAGAAATACTAAGTGAGAATTGTTTATTATTTAGAAAAGAAAAAGATACTTGTTAAAAGAAGAATATAAATTTAATGTTTGATAAATTTGTTGTCATTTTTTTTATCAGTAAAAAATAAGGAGGGAAAAATGAGACTAAAGAGTTAAAAAATATAGGAGGTGGAAAAGGTGGAGGAAGGATATTGTTGATAAGGAGACCACTGCAAACTGATAACTGATCTGTTGACACTGGAGACAAGAGAGGGTGGAGCAAAGGAGAAATGGCAGCATCCAGCCATCCAGTCAGCCAGCAACAACAATGAACATCAACGAGACGATGACGACAACAATATTAACCACTTGCCGTCTGCTTTCTACTTACACTTGCACTGTTGTTCGCTTTTGATACAAGCCTTCACCTAAGTTTTCCACAAAGTAATCCCTAAAATGAATCAGGTGATAAGTTCATGGTGCAACATATGGTGAAAAACAATAGCAGCAACAACATCAAGATACTTACCATATGCTTAAGGGTCAACATCCTTGTCTCAGGTGTGTGGGTGTTTATGAAGTGAGATGACAGCAAAACAACATTTATAGGAAAGTGAAGGGAGGAAAAAGAGTTGCGTTTTTCTTTTTACACTTGATTGAAGGTTGTTTAGATTAAAAAGAATAAAAAGGAGTCAATGTCTGACTAATGACAAAAAAATATTAACAAAAAACATTTGTAATCTTAAGTTTTTATCAGGTGCGATATTTCAAAAGAAAAATGTCAGAGAATGCTTTTGTTAATTAACAATAAAAGACAATATAAAGTGTATTAAGGTACAAATGATAATAAAAAAAAAAGATGCACTGAGTGTATAGAATTTCATAATGGCTTAAAGGATATTGTTCAAGTTTAGATGATGACAATAAGAGGATAATGGTGTTTATGCATGTGTGTGTGTATATATATATATATGTGTTACAGTAAATCAAACAGACCTTTGAAGACTGGTATGATGCACAAAACAAAAGGTTACTATTTGGACACACACACAATATAAAAACATTCATGTTTATTTGAAACATCCTTATGCTCAGTATGACACACACCAAGCACAAATACAGAATGTGCTAACTACAATTATGCGAGCTTGAGGAATCAAATGTGTATACTATGACACAATGCATAAAATATCAAATGATAGAAGACATGTGAAATGTGACTGCATGGTAGAAATGGATGTTTAGACACATAACTAAAATGTATAAATATATGATAAAATGGTTATGCATCTGAAATGTAAAAAGTGCAATTATTTGTATTTAATTTCATTATACAGATAGATTCATTTTTTTTTGTTAGTGGATACTTTTTCATTGTGAAAGAGTATGTAGCTCATTCAATGAATAAAACACAAGTTAATAAATTAGTTAAAAGTAGACAAAGAAGTTATCTTTACAAAAATTAAATCAATTTTTTTTCGGTCGAAAATGTTACTGTCTGAATGAATGCCCAAAAATGTTGAAATGGTTTAGACATAACTTAAAAGGATTACTTTATACAGGTTTCCCACAGATCTATGTAAAAAATTCCAGGACTATGTCAAGGAGTTTCAAGGACTGAAACTGGCATGAGCATATACAAAGTGAATGGTCATCAATTTCAAAAACTCAAACTTTGTGATTCATCTTTTAATAATTTGACAGATAAGATGTTCAAAGAAAAGCTACAGCTGGTTCCAATAATTCATGTCACATGGATTAATTGAAAGCAGTGAAGAAATCAAAGTGTTGAAGTCTAAAGCACAACTGAATGCAGAACTGGTTATGTTAGCATTCTACACAGTTTGGAGTTCTACTACACTTGAAAACTTTGAATTACAAACTTTAATTCTTACTGCTACACATTTCAGCTATCTATACTACTCATGGTTTGTGAAAGTCACAAAAATTCATTGCTGCATATTTCCTGTGAAGTTAAGTATAATGGTTTTAATGAACAGAACTACAAATAGAAATTTATATAAAAAGACTACACATTTTAGCTACCCACTACTATTAATGGATTTTGTTGTACATGGCACAGAACACAATGATGTTAATATTTTTTTCAGTCCATCTAGTTAAGCATTCAGCTCCTCTTCCAATTTTGATATCTCTATGGGCTTGTCCTTTGCAGATCTTTGTATGGCATTGGACTTGTGTGAAGTTCTGAGTCTGCTCAGCTTTATCAGCATATCTGACAGCTGACTTGAGCAAATCTTGTGTGCACCTTCAAACTTTTTTGTCTTTAGTTCTTCAATTTCCATAAGTATGGGTGTCCGTTTTTGTCCAGCAGCTTCTTCCTGCCTTTTCTTCTTCTCAGCCTTGAGATATTGATTGTATGCTGTTTTGGCATTGGAAGAATCTTAGTCATGGAAACATTCCCAGCATTTCCAAATAATCCATGATAATGCACTGTGCAACTAGAATCTGCGGTTTCATATTGTCAGTGGAAATTTCCTTATTGACTGATAAACCTTTCTCCACTGAGGCCTGTCCATAAGAAAGTACCAGCAATTTGCAAACAACTTTCCAGTTTTTGATATTCTTTGTTGCTAGACAAAAAAGTGTCTAGATGGTCTTCATGCTTGCTGAAATTTTTGAAAGCAATATTTCCAGCAGCCTCCTCCGCAAACTCTCTGTACTGACTGATGATGTCATTACAATCAGACTTGCTGATTTGTCTTCTATCCATTATATGGGAAAGTCATCTTTTTAGACTGTCTCCTGTTGCAAATTTTTTTTCACAAATGGATCCAGGGTTCAGCCATACAAGTGAACTTACAAGAGGTTATCTAAGGGGAGATTTTGCCAGAAGTTTCTCAATGATGGCAATGAAACTTGTCTTTCTTGCAATTCTGCATGCAAACAAATATTTTGTTGACACATTTCCTTTTTTTGGATAAATTTTGCATAGCCCTAGCTGCTAGAAATCCACACTTGATCTTTGCAGCATCTTTGAGTTTGATAAAATTCTTAAAATTCATTCAGTTTGGAAAATGTAATTATCTTTTTAGTGTGCTCTTCCTTTACAAATCTTAAGTTTCATGATCATGCTAAAAAGATCATCTGCAAGGAACGGAAGCAACAATTTATTGCTCTGATATTTTATCAGAAACAGTTCAATGTCTTTCAAAACAGACACAGAAAGTCTGCAGTTTCAATGGAAATAAAATGTCATTTACGTTTGACAGCACCACAGACTGGTCTGGGACATTTTTCTGTTTTATTTAATTGTTCACAAATTTGATGACATCTAGCCAAATGTCTAGGAGTCGTTCACATGTTTGTACATTTTCTAGCAATCTATGTCAGAAATACAGGAGTAAAGAGACAAGGTTGCCAGATTGAACTTTTAATATAAAGCCAAGTAATATAAAAGCCAAATAAGTTTTAATATATTTCATCATTTTTCCACACTTACAACAAAAGCTAGAAATACAGGTCATCGTTAGCCTGCAAACATTATTTTATTTTCTATCCTAAGACACATCAAAGGCACATTTTCTATCATCTTTTCCATCTACATTTTCTTTGAGTCAAATTTGATTCTCAAACTTGTTACTTTTGGTAACAATTTAGACAAATATAGTTTATACATATACACGCATTGACATGGATGTGTAAAGTATCTATTTTTTTCAGCATGAATTCACCATTGCTGCCAAGTTTTTACTTTTGAAATTGACATGTGAATAAAATTTCTTCAATTGTTCAAATTTAAAAAAAATATTGATAAATTTTTTGATATTCTACTAAAATATATTTTATTACTGTAAAATAATTTATTATTTTCCTACAAATTCAATGAGAGTGAATTAATTTATCATTGACGAAGATGTTTCCTTGTCTCTGTTGCCTTTTATCTTTGCTTTTCCTCCTTTCTTGTTGAGTGCAGGTAGCAGTTAGAAGACACACCTTTATACTCTTTCTTCCTCATCACCAAGATGAGAAAATACAGAGGTAACTATGAGGTCATGAACTCATTCTAATCAAAGAAAGAAACCAACATTCGCAACAATTAGCAAATATTACTGACAACTAAAAAAAATTTTTCTTAAAGGAAACTTTATCTTGTAAAAAAGGCAGATTTCTGTGATTTGGCATTTTGACTTTCATGAATTGAAAGAAGGGATGTGTGGACAGCACAATTTAGAAAATTCCTTTACTTTTCAAGAAGATCTTTTGGGCTATTGCTGTTTTTCCAGGACTTTTCAAGGTTTTCAGGACCTGTATGAACCATATATATATATATTAATGAAGTTTTTCTTTACCAATAAATACAGTCAAATCATCAAACATTAGACAAAATAATTATAAAGAGATTTTAATGTAAAAGTGATTTCTATAATATACAGCAATGAAATTCTATTTTCATGATTTTCAATTGGGTTCAGTGATTTTTATTAACATAAATAGATGTCCCTTAGGCTGCAAACTTAAAAGCAATAATTTACCTGCTAAAATTAATAAGTCTCAATGATTTGACACTACAGATTAAATGATGACCTTTTTAATTCAAGTCCAATATTATTTACTTATTTCCAAACACTCAAGTTTCTTAGTTATGGTTCTTATTCTGGAATGAAATTTTTTGATTTAAATATATTTTGGATTTAAATATGCTGAAATTTCACATTTTAATATTTTTAAACTTAAAAATAAACCCAATTTGGTACATTTTTTTACATTGAAAAATTATTTATTGACTTTAGTTGAAACCTGTTTATGCAATAAATGCAGATATATGATAAAAACATATAAAAAATTTTAATATGAAATGCAGTCTAAAAAATAAGAAATAAAATCTTATGGAAAAGTTTATTCAGTGCATTGTGTGAATTTGGTGATGATCACAAGTTGCATTCTAACATTTGTATGATACAAAGACAATAAATAATGAGTGATAAAAAGAAAAAACTGTGAGCCAAACTTACTCATTGCTAGGTTTCTTATTCTGCCATAATTCACCATCTTCACCATCTTGGTGTGATTGTTCCTGATTTTAAAAAGAAAAATCAAATTTGTCATCAAAAAAAAAAAAAAAAAGTCTCATTTGGAAAGAAATTCTTTAAATAGAAAAAGGATGGTAAAAGTAATACTTTATATGCTAATGATAAATATAAACTTAGAAATTCAGGCCGCACAAAATATAACATAAATAAGGGCAATTCTAATGTAAATATAATTAATATAAAAGAAAACAATATTATGATGATACCAGTTGAAAACATTTGGCACGCTCAAATCACCGTGCTAATAACAAATATGGCGCCAGTTTGTTTACATTGGGCAGATCAGTACGAAAATTTCAGTGACTGCACAGGTAAGTGTTGCCAACATTGTGCGAAAATTTTGTGTGAATTGATTGAACAGTTTTTGAAATATTAGAAAAAAAGTTATCTCGATAATAATTTGGCACGCAGTGTATAAGATAATGTGGAAAAATTTCTATTTTCACATGTTTCATCAAAATATATCAACATTAAAATCAGAAAAAGAAATTCTTTTCTGATGACACTAATTCAACAGCAAAATATGTCAAAACAGAAATGTTCCAACTTGTTTTAGAATTTTGTAATAAAATCCACAAGAAAATTTATTAAAAATTAATAATCTTAAATACCAAGACATTCCTTCTGAGTAACCTAAGATATAACACTTAGTGTATAGTTATTTACCTTGGTCCACAAGGTCATGATGCTTAGTGTGTGTGTATAATTGTTACATAAACCTGACATCAAACAAATGTAGTTTTATTGTCTGATGGAGATAACTAATTTGCATATTTGGCATTAAAAATCATTTTTTTTTAAATTATCTGTTTTGTTATTCAATTACAATCTGATCTTTATAAATAACTGATTGCTTTGTTGATGATTTTTATAATTAAATTGCTTCAAATAAAGGCATTTTTTGTTCTGAAAGCTTTTACATCACAGATTGGGAGTAAAGGGAAATAGTGGTATTTTTTGATAGTTGTAAAATATAACAAATAGAAATATTATAATATGACCAATATGAAATAAATGAGAACCAAAATGTTTAAGCTTAGTGAATTGTCTTAATTACAACAATTTTGCTAATACTATTTTATTAAAAATTTCTCTTGCTCTTAAAAAGAAAGAAAAAAGAGAGAGGACTGTATTGTATAACAAAGAAAAGAAACTTGGCTTACAGAATGTTGGGTATATTTGCTGGTCAACAATAAATTTTCTTTTAATTTTGGCCATCCAATTCTATATTCAAAATTCTACTTTCTGATTATATATATATATATATATATATATATATATATATAAAGAATATATTTTCTTTGCATATACTGAATATCAGTCAGTCAAAGGCAACAAAAAGTTGAGGAGAACAAAAACTGAGTAGTAAAGTGATTTTACAATAATACTAACATCTTTGCAACTTGTTCTTTGGTAGTGAAACAGCACCTGAAACCTAGCCAGGGGAGGAAACTTGGTGGATTGGGCATAAAATTCAGAAAATAGAAGCGGATAGAAGGATATTGTAGTCAACAGCAAAGTTAGTAAACAAGCCAATCAAAGTTTCATCTTGAAGGAAATCTGCAAACAATGGATGAAACTGATTGTCCAAAATGCAAGACTTATCTCTCAGGCTTTCATTCCAAGTACTATTGTGGATTTCTAATGGGAAAGACCGTCCAATAAATAAGCAACCAATGAAACATTAGAGAAGTAAGTGAACAAGAGCTTGACATCAGGTTACTGATTGCTGACCAATCAAAATGGAGAGCTTGGACTGTCTCAAGCATTAGATAACACAGGAGTGTTGATTGGTACACAGTAGAATTATTCAAGATAATCAATTATGACTATATTCCCAATAATATCCTTCTGTTATTTTAATCAGCCTCTCCACCCAATTATTTGATACTGAAAACGTGAAAAAATGCTTCTAACATTGAAAGAGGAAATAATAAAAAAATATTGCTTTATTTCTTGCTTGATAATTTCAGGAACAATAATGGAATATAAAAGCAAAGAATTGGTCAAAAGAGATTCAACTTACCATTTGTGCAGTATTCTGAGAGTCAGCAAGATGAAAGAAATGAACAGTGAAGTGTTGTTCAGCAAGGCATACAGGCTCCAGTTCAGAGAGAACTTTATCTAAGATCTAAAAGAGAAACAAAACAAAAATTTACATATTAAAATATGTAATATCAAACAAGGCTGAATTACAATAGACTGAAATTGTTTTTTTTACAGCTTATCAATCCTTTGTGGGTTATATAAAGCCAAAATATATTTTGGACTGCTGGAAATCACTTATAGTATCTGGTGTTCCCAAGTGGTCCCCCTAACTAAAAAAAAAAAACTTAATAAAACAGTGTGTGAATTTATAATAGGTGATTAAATGTTGTCACTTGCCTTTATGAAATCATTAAATATCAGAATACTTTCAGTTTTGCTAATAACGAAATCCTATATTTCCTAAAATGTTTCTTTCATGTTTGTACATTTGATTTTAGAAAGGAGTTTGAGAAAAATAGAATTGAAAACAAAACTTGAATTTCATGAAACATTAGCTGAAGAAATCACATACAAAAAAATAATTTGGTATATTTATAAGAATTTAATATTTTTTAAGAGACTTAGGTGGAAATATCTAGTCTGTATAAATAGAAATTTATAATTAAACTATTTTTGCTTTTATCAATTATTCTGTTTTAGAGATTGTTTTGGAAATATGCATTGTTAAATAGTAACAAAGATGGCATAAACTACTTTTAAGACATTTTATATATATATATATATATATATATATATATATATATATATGCTTAAGAGAAATATGAAATTTACCCCTCTCTATACTATACCTTGTCTCGTTGACTACAACGATCACCCTCCCTGTTAAATTACAAAAATTACACTACCCATCAATTTCTAATCCCATTTTTCCTTTCATTTCATTGTTGGAAGTGTTACCTGATGATCCGGAGTCCTTCAAAAAGGATTTTGGTGAAATAAATTATTGTAATGGTACCTTAAAGTGGTCTGTTTTTTTCATTAAATATATATATATATATATATATATATATATTCAAAGTGTCTCTTATGCTTTGTTTCTTTTATCAACTTACATTTAAGAATGTTTTATTTGTATAATTTTCTTATTATTAGAAAAAGACTTAATACGAACTTGGTCAAATAATTGCCGAGAAGCAAGATCGATGTCTGATCCATGATGAGAGATGGAAGCAGAATCTACACTTTGAATGGAAGCTGATCGTCCTCGTTCAGACACTTTGGTCAAACTGGAGGATGAAGATGTCTTCTGATCTGGTAATTTAACAAAATCAAAAACATAATAACAGGCAGACAACAAAAAATTATAAACATTTACAAATTTTAATAAACTTGAAAAGCTTTTACTAACTTTTATTAATTATGTCATTATTTGCCAAGGGAAACATAACATGTGAACAAAAATTACAATATAAAAAGAGAGAAAAATTGTAAGCCTACACAAATCATAAATAGAAGGCAACAATAAAAAGGCCAGGAAGAGGAGGAAATTGTATTAAGGCAACATTAATGAGGAGGTGAAGATTGTATTAAGGTAACAATAAAAAGTCCAAGAAGAGGAAAAGAGGAGATTGTATTAAGGCAACAATAAAAGGCCAAGAGGAGGAGATTGTATTAAGGCAACAATAAAAGGCCAAGAGGAGGAGATTGTATTAAGGCAACAATAAAAGGCCAAGAGGAGGAGATTGTATTAAGGCAACAATAAAAGGCCAAGAGGAGGAGATTGTATTAAGGCAACAATAAAAGGTCAAGAGGAGGAGATTGTATTAAGGCAACAATAAAAGGCCAAGAGGAGGAGATTGTATTAAGGCAACAATAAAAGGCCAAGAGGAGGAGATTGTATTAAGGCAACAATAAAAGGCCAAGAGGAGGAGATTGTATTAAGGCAACAATAAAAGGCCAAGAGGAGGAGATTGTATTAAGGCACTAATAAAAAGGCCAAGAAGAGGAGGAGGAGAAGATGCAAAAGAGGTAAGGGAAGTTTTTAAACCATTAACAACAAAATCTTTCAACCATAATCAGTGATGTTGAGTCAGAGTTGTATTATGGATGGGTATTTACTTGATATTAGTTGGTTTGGCAAAATCATTATTTGAATCAAGTTTTGATAGCTTTAAAATTCAATGCTACAAGGTTTACATGTCAGTGTTGAACTGATTTTAAAACAAATCAAGTGGACATTTTAAAACAGATGAAACAGAAATTAATCATTATTAATCATCATAATTAAAATCATAATAACTAAAATTTTATAGTTTTTTTAATGAAATATAAAATAAAATTAAATTGAATTACAGACATTTTGAAATTTGTTTGGAAGTAATCAAGTTTAATAAAGATATAAATCAGTTCTAAAATGGAACTGTCCTGTCACCTCACTAACATCTTATTTTCTTTCACGCCCAGTAATCCCTTGTTTCTTAGTGGCATTATTGCCTTGTTTGAAATGAAATGAGTAAAGAAGGAAAAAATATTTAATTATATATTATATAATATATTAATAAAGAATTAAAAAACTAAAACTTACTAAGTTTTCCTTTGTCTCCTTTGCCGATCAATCTCTGTCGGGCACATTCCAGAAAATCTTGAATCTCCTTATTGTATAGTTTACTCAATGATTCTGTGTATACCTAAATGGCAGAAAGAAGTAAGATAAAGAAATATCATTGTTTACTATTTTAGTTTTCTGTTGGAATCTTTCAATGTTACCAATTCTAAAATGTCATGCCTTCTACATAACAAATCTTGAATAATCATAGAGGCCATTTTTTTAATGCTGTGTTTATTGAATAAGAGTCACTATGTGAATAAATAGCAAAGTCTATAGAAGCCTTACAAAGAAAAAAAAAGTACAGAAAAAGGTAAGATGAGTGGGACACAACTGGAAATCATAATAGAAATTTCCTGGTTATAAATGGTACAATGAAAGAACAGGTGATATGAATGTTTAGCCCTTTAGCATTCACACACACACATTATATATATATATATATATATATATATATATAGGCAATAATCCATTGGTATATAATCCAAGTGAATCTTAATAATATAAAATATTAAAACTGATTCACATAAAGAGCTCAATGTTTTATTCAAACAGAGCATATAAATTACATACAATAGGAATTAAGATTACTCCTAAGAGGTTTGAAAATCCTTACAAATTAATCTTTAATAATCTTTAATTTGTAAGGTGAAATGATTATAACCATGGAGTAATCTTAATTCCTATTGTATGTAATATATATATATATATATATATATATATATATATAAAGAAATATAGTCTTAAGGTGTGGTATATTTATAGGATAAAGTGCTCAATATCAGAGATAGAGTGTGTGTAAATATAAAAGTGAACATTGAAGTCAACACTTAGAAGCGACAGGCTGTTTCATGCTAGACGCAATCATCAGGCCATGTTTGTTCAGATATATATATATTTGTAGTCATTTAGGCATGTGAAAGTGAAGAAATAAATGATCTCACAGCTTTACAAATTTAAATTTCATTATTGAGATTTCTTTCAAATTGGAACAAACAAATTACAAAGAATCTTATTATTTTTCTTTCTTTACAATATAACCAAATCAATTGTGTTAGTATGATAGAAGAAACAGAATGTGCCTACATAAGGAGAGTGTCATGTATTTATGTTGTTTTATGAATGTGTGTTATTTTATAGCAGTAGCATCTCAGCAGACAAGAAGATGTATTATAGATTCTACTAACATTTGTTTACAAACTCAGTCCCTGTTTCAAGTGTGCTTAAATTATTTTAAAATCGCTAGGCTTTGTAAGTAGTTACTCAAATAAGATTTGTGAAATGTTACGTAACAAATTATATGAAAGGTTTTGAGAATTCAGCTTGTCCACAACAATGAACAACCGACTCTGGTCCAAGGTTTACAGAAAAATTGAAAAACTAACTTTGATAATTTACACGATTGTATTTATACAAAAAAAAAAAAATAGGTTCCAGAAATCTAAAAGTTAGATTTTACTAAACTCAGAAGTTTATTGGTTAATAAATATTGTTTCCCAATTTTTAAATATCTATTTTTAGGAGGGAAAATATTGTTGATCATTTTCTGGAGTGATCCTACAAATTTCATAGCAGACGATAAACATAGTTGTCTGAATTTTTAAGGGTTTCAGCACATTTAAAAATAACCTTGCTGATTGGTTAATATATGCAAATGTGGAAATTCAAATTGGAGCCAACTTGTTCACAAAAATGAGTCGATTTCTGTATGAGCCAGTGTCTGTACAGAATTAAGTTTTTTAGTGATATCACTTAAATGCATTGTATTCTTTAATGGAGTTCTCTCTATATATATATATATATATATATATATATATATATGTATGTATGTATGTATGCATATATGATCCAGGTAAAATGAGAATGAATAGAGTACAATTTTGTTTGTAATATTTAATTTAAAAGAGTGCTTAATACAAAGTAGAGCAATATTCTTTATTTTAGGATTTTACATTGAAATTGCAGTTGTGTTTTGATGCATATCAATGCATTTTATCAGGCTATATATATATATAGTAAAATTCCCGGAACAATTCTGTGGATAAGACAAATTGGTATAAAAATGACAATAGGAAAAAATCTTAGTTTTTGCTGATGCATTTCATCTTTGAACTTTATGAAGGCAAAATTGAAGCAAAATGTTTTTGTTTTCATAGTTACATTAAATTCAAAATTTAAAAAGAGAGATACGCTTTTCTGTAAGCATCTTTCTGGCTAATGTTAACTTCCTTTATACTAAGAGGGCTTTTTTTTCTCATGTCGACAATATAGTAAAATTCCCAGAACAATACTGTGGATAAGACAAATTTGCTTCAATTTTGCCTTGATAAAGTCCTATAGTCATTCTTATACCATATATATATATATATATATATATACCCATGCATTCACATAAAAGGAGTGAGTTGCAAGAAATAAAAACAAAGACAAACAGTTGACTTGCCAGGCATCTTTTGAGAATGAATGTGCATGTCCATTAGTTTCCAAAAATGCTGGCAAATTGACATTTTGAAGATCAGATCATTTGTCTACTCAAGATCTAAAACATGTGTCAACATCATTATCCTCATCCAAATCAGTCAGTTCATTACTATTAATTTCAGAAATATGGAAATCCGATTCATCTTGCATTTCTTCTAGTGTTTTCATTTTATCTTGGATTCTAGAATAACCTGCACTGTATATTTCTCAAACGAACGCTCTGAATCACTAGACTCCATTTTGTTCTGATGCTTGATTTCCCATCATCAAAAAAAAGATTAAGAAAAGGTCATAAAACCTGTATTTTCTTCACTAATAGAATGTTGTATGTTAAAGGGTCCATTTTACTCTTTTCTAAATGTTTCCTTGCAAACTTAATGAGCCAATAATATATTCCAATTTGTTATAATTAAACTATAGTTATATCTATGTGAGTTTGTGGTTTTGTATGTATGTACACTTACTTTAGAAAGTTTGAGAAAACTTTCATAATTTGCTCCTTTCAGCCACAACATGAGGTCAGCATATGGCATCAAGTCACTGTGGCTAGACCGGTGCTGAGGCAGTCTCAGATCATTAGCACAACGGCTCAAAGTCTCACCCATCTCATTACCCTGAAATGAAAAAGAAGAAATAGAAAAAGAACAAAAAAAAAAAAAAAAAAAAAGTGATCAAAGACTAAAATATACATTAAAACTCTTGACAAAACAAAAATAAGTCTTTTCATGAAGCAGCAGATTGTAAATCTCAACCTTATTTTTTAATTATCAAAAGATCTCGGGAGCTCTTTGCTCATATCTGACAGTTTATCAACTTTTTTTTCTGTTCAATCATTCATACAGCATTGATGCATTAATAGCTTGGTTAACAAGTCTTGCTCTTTGGATGATCTTTATGCAAAATCAGTTTTTATGATTTCGTTCTCAGCGGAATCAAAAGATGTTAAAAGTAAATATTTCACAAAAACCCTAAAATATGTATTTCTGAAGATTCTTAGATAACTACAAAATCAGGGTTAAAAGTGAAAGCTTTGATTACTACCAATTCAGAACAAATTAGCTTTAAAAGACTTGTGCAGAGTTTAGATAATAATTCACTGATACAAAATAAAAACAATTACTACAATAGATTTCCTTAAAAAATAAAACAAACATTTTTATACAAACATCTTGATCTTGATATGCACAACAAAACAAAGGTAAGAAAGTTGGATTCAATTCTGAACAAATGTATGCAGATACAAAGAAAAGCCACACTATTAATAAATTATTCATATATGGCTGGCCACTCATATACAAATATGACTATTAGTGTGACTAGCTAATCCATTGGTTCTCATATTTTTTTTTCTGGGCCAAATTTTCAGAATGAAAATTTGCTGTGATAAAAAGTACATTAAAAAATAAAAAAAAACAAAGAGAAGTTTAAAGGGAGATAACTGCGGATTTGAAGTAAGAATATTATCATAGATAACTCTCTCCTTCATTTTGTGGACCCTAGTTCCCTAAATTCTTAATACCTGATATAATGCAAAAATATCACAATGATAGAATCAGTTAATAATTATTTATAACTATTTATACTCTGCATCATGCATGCAATTACACGTAATTCATAATAATATTTTAAATTTTGAATTCATATTTATTTTTGGCATATGTATTTTTTGAAACTGTTTCTAAATCTTTGATTGTCTTTTAATCATTCCACCTCACCCTGCTATCCTCTTCCACTTCACTGGCTATCCTCTTCTGTCACACCTATGAAGCCCACCACACTGTTTTGGAACCACTGAGCTAATCCTTACTGCAGACATATGCTTAGATACATTTCTTTCTTCAACATCCACTGATCCAACCTGGGGCTTATACTGCAACTATACTGAGCAGACTTTAGTTACAGTTTCTGAGAGAAAATATATAATCTAGCATGATCAACAGTTTCAACAAGTGGCCAGTACATGCAAACCCTCAGTCACAATGACTTATATGACTTTGTACTAGTACAACTATCAACAGCTTCTGAACAGTTTTGTCTACCCAATTTCACTCACAAGGTTTGAGTTAACACTGTTGCTATGGTTTTCAAGAAGTCACCACCCTGACAAATTGACCATGTGTGATTTGAATATGGGTCTCTGTCAGAACTTCATTGATCTAATTAGATGGCCATGTGCTCACATATACTTATACATTAAAAAGAAATCAACTGTTTTTTTAGTAAATACAATTATCTACTAACTTTGTAGTCAGAAAAACACTTTAATATATTACAAACAATGGACATTAAAACTAGATATTTGCAAATGGACATCATGTCACAGTTACGTGATGCATTCTTGCTGTATAAACAATTCTAAGGAATACATACTTGTTGTATAAACAAACAGTTCAAGTGGTGAGCAAGTCTCTTAGCAAATTGATTAGTGAAGTTTTCAAAACGTTTCTGCTGTTCTTCAACTGCTGCCATATTCTGCAAAGCTGAAATAAAGACACAAAGATGAATTCTTCAAATAAACTAATAGTAAACAACTTACAATTTATAAAGTAGATATATTTCCTTTTTCTATTATGAATAAAAGAAACTAATCAAACAAAAAATAATCCTTGTGTGAAACTCCGGAAATTGAAGAGGACCAATGCAGCAACCAAATTACAATGAATGACCAAATTTGAAAGAGAAATATATGACCAGTGTTAAAAGCAGATATAGTGGACAAAATGAAAATGGAAACTAAGTTCAGAAAAGCTTTAATAACATCAGCAATTGACAAAAAAGAATGGATAACAGATGAAATTCTTGTCATGATGAAAAGGGAACCTTAGATGATTTCAGCTTTGAGAAGATTAAAGACATAATAAATTAAATATACAACAATGATGACATACCAGAAGACCTTAGTAGTTCCATTTTCCTTAGCACTGCTAAGAAGCCAGGTGCAAACAAATGTGAAGTCTATTGGAAAATCAGCCAAATGAGCCATAAAACAAAACTTATCCGAATTCTAATGAATAGAGTACACAGCAGAATTAGACCAGAAATAAAACTAGAACTGTGTGGGTTTGTTAAAGGCACTAGAACAAAGAATGCAATATTTATGCTCAGAATGATATCAGAAAGAGCAATACAAATGCAAAAGGATGTGTAGCCATGTTTTATAGATTATGCAAAGGCATTTAATAATGTATATCACAAAGAACAGTTTTAACTGCTCAGTAACATTGATATATTTGGGAAGGATATAAAAATAATTCAGAACCTATACTGAGAGCAAACCGCCTGCATACAGATAGAAAATGAATTCAGTAAATATACAACAAATAGAAAGGGATGTAAGACAAGGATGCGTCTTCTCACCAGACTTAGTCAACCTATACAGTGAGGTGATTACAAGAGAATTAGAAGTCCTACCAGGATTCATTGTTGGCAACCACAATCTTAATAACATAAGATATGCAGATGACAGATACAGAAAAGAAACTACAAGAACTCTATAGAAGGTAGCGAAGAAAAGCAAGAAAGGATAAAAAATCAATTGCAAGAAGACAGAATGCATGGTTGTCAGCAAAAGGAAGAGTCGAACATGCAAATTATAAACTGGAAATATCAGAATCAGACAAATACAACAATTTAAATATCTGGGAATTGTTTTTACAAAGGACAGAAAGTGTGATACTGATATTCAAAGATGCATAGGGAGAGCAAAAGATGCCTTCCAAAGGCTAAGCAAAGTATTAAGAAACAGGAAAATTTTGTTAGAAACAAAAGATTACTGAACATAATATCATATAGCAGTGAATGTTGGACAGTCTTCTCACAGATGAAGACGAAGGAACAGAAATGTGGTTCTACAGAAATGTGCTGAGAATACCATGGACTGAATATGTGAGCAATGATGAAGTTTTAGAGAAAATGGAAACATAAAGGACACTTATATTTAACATCAGGAAGATGCAGCTGAAATTTCTCATAATGAGGAAAGAGGGCTTGGAAAATCTGATACTCACAGGACAGACTGAAGGCAAGAGGGACAGGGGAAAACAATACATAACCTACCTGGTGATCTTGAGTAAAAGGAAGGTGAAGCAAATTTTGAGATAACAAAAAGACAAAATTTATTAAGAGCTACAAAGAGCAGGAAATTGTGGAGAGCCATGATCACCAAGTACTGAAGGCACATGGCACATTTATTTGTTTCTAAATGACTTGTCTATCAAATTTTACTAACATAGAAAGCAGTATAATTAGATATGTTCTTTTTGTTAAACATGTATTACTTCAATATTACAACTTTATAGTAATGTTATTTTTTGTTACCCCCCCTTTCTTGATATTAATTTTTACCTCATTTTAACATTTTATCACTTTAATTAAATATATTTTTTTAAATACCATATCTTTTCAAGACATAGGCGATCATAGCTCACCACATTTTTTTAATGCCATGTTCCTTTAGGACATAGGCAATCATGGTTCTCTAGATTCCTTTTATTTATTATATGTGAATTACCATGAATTCTTGGGAAAGTTAGTGGTTTCTTGTTACCTTCTCTAGTTTGGAATTCAGAGTTTTTGTCATTCAAAGCAAGAGAGCCCAATCTACCTTCCTATTTAACCCATAGCTGGAGGGAGGGGATCCATGCCTTTCAGAAGAACATTTATGCAAAAATGAACACCACCAACTAGCTCTGAATTTGAGCTTTGCTTGCTAATTCCATTTTCTCCATTAATAACCATTATGCTACCTGCACATCCCTTATAACAGTTTACCCTAAAACATTAATATATGCTGATAAACATTAATGTACCACATAATAAATTCCATATAGACAGGGATCAAGATAGACAGTCAGGTGTTTTATTTATAAACACAATGATCTCACCTGGATGAATGTCAGTGTGTAAACACTTTTGCAAAGCTTCTGCTGCAGCTGTACATTCATTGATACCTGCTTGGCTCTGCAAGTCTCCATCTAAGAGAGCACATGTGTGTTTGATGTCTAAATCCAGCTTGCTCTGCAATACAATGCACAACATTCCTTAATTTTAATATCTTAAAATTATATGACATCCTGCAATGAAGTATTGTCCTTATTTCACTTACATAATTTCTTGAACAGAAATAGTTAATTTCATATGTTTATTTATTAATAAATAAATATTTATTAATAAATCAACATATATGAAATTAACTATTAATTAAAACTAACAAAATTGAAATGCTTTGTGTATTTAAATATTTTATGTATTCAATATCATTCAAAAGAAGTCCACTTTGTCAAGATCTTTATCCTGTTGTATAATAATATAAATTTCTTTTCAACTCAGGCTGACATACACATTGATTTAAGCCTGTTCTTTTATGTTCAAATTTCCTAAATAAATCACAGAAAATAGAAAAGTAACAATCACAGAGGCACATACCACTAAATTGTCTAACTCTTCAAGCAGTTTTTGGTGGTTTGTGTTTCTCAGGTTAATTAATGTATCTTTGTCTTTCATCACTTCCATTTGATCTTTGACATTCTGAAAAAAAAAAAAAACATTATTCACAAATTACATAAGATTTAAAAGACATTCACATGTTGATTGAATTAAAAACATTTTAAAGAAAAAATCCTTCTTACATAATATATATATATCAGGATATCTGTGTGTCTGTGTGATACCTTTTCACTCAAGATCTATCCAACTGATTTTGGCACATACAAAACTTGTACAATGTAAGAGATAGGTTCTTAGTGTAAAAAATTGATAATTTTTAAAAACCAATAATTGAGAAAACAGATCGAAAATCAATAAATCCAACTTTTTTCCTCCAATTTCATTCAAACTCACGACAAGCTCAATGATACCTAATTTTTATTTCTATGCCACTGTGTTTAGCAGAAAAACCATGAAAAATGAAAAATTGATTTCAACACAAATTTTAAACTAAAAACTCCCTCAATTTTCAAGCAATCTAATACAAACTTGACTCAATTGTAGCCAACAATAAGTTGATTGTTTAACAGTCATTTAACTTGATATTTGAGTCTACCCATATAGTGAAAACCCACGTAAATAGTGAAAAATGGTGCAAAAACAGCATCATGTTAGAGTTTAAATGGTGATTTTTACTGGTTTCTTTTTTATTTTTTGTTGATCTTTCAACCACTTTTCATCAAACTTAACAATTGCTTTATAAATGTATCCTCTTTTACATCCCTGGTAGCACACTGACAAATTGAATATCAAAAACTTCAAAATAATTGTGGTCTGAAGTGGGTCTTCATGTTGCCCGTTTTACCCCTTCATGTCCTCAGCTAACTTCGATTGAATAAATATAGACTACTTCTGTTATATCAGTAACTGCATTAATTCAAAATGTTTTTAATCAAAGTACTTCAAAGTAATTGAAGAAGATAAACTCTGTTACATCTAAACATGATGCTGTTTTTGCTCTATTCTAATTGAATGCTTTTTCTGATCAGCTATTTAGGTATAGCTGCTAGTGTTACATATAATAGTCAACAGTTGATAGAAAGAAATTCAGAAACAATGTAAACCTTAAGGATGGCATCATAACCATTCAGCTTGGCCTCCACTTCAGTTGCCTGATGAATACCTCTGTCTAAAAGACGCATCAAGTTCAGCACTTGGTCCTCAGATCCCATGATGGAATGGATGTTTTCCTAAAGTAAAAAAAACAAATAGCATTAGAAATTAATTTTTTTTTTTTTTTAAAAATGACCACTTAAATGGAAGACTTTCAAATTGATCACAAAAAAATAAATAAATAAAAAAGTAAAAGAAATTAATGACCCTCTAACCCAGCCATGTTGTTAGGATTTGTCTTTTGAATCACTGATAAATGAAAATTAACAAAAGGTAAAATTAATTCAGATTTTTATAATTTTATCTTGAATATGCTAAACTGAATCCTCAGAATGACTTTCACTGTTGCTTCTTTATGGTTAAAACCCATCATGCCATACACATTGTAGCAAACCAGCCTTCTTTCCACAAACAACTACCTTATGGAACCAACTCCCTAGAGTTTGCTTCCTGGATCACTACAATCTTAACCTGCTCAAGTCTAGGATTAACTTATCTTTCACACATATCTGCAAAAGCTGTGCCTCTTACTCTGTGACCCTCTAAATTGAATGGGCATTGGGCCTTATACAGAGTGAACATCATTTAAAAAAAAAATCAGGTCTAGGGTCAACTATTATCTATCTTTTATATCTTCAGAATAGACATCACTTACACAATCCTTGTATGGCCTAACAACAATTTTATTAAACCTCCACCTTGAGTGGCTCATGAGCTTTGTATTGGGTGAACGATAGTTTACAAAGAAAAAAGTATAACTTTCACTAGCACTTACTAAATAATAATGATCAATGAGACTAAGTAGAGAAAGTTGTTTTATCTATTGTCAGTAATTAACTCTCTATTCAATAGCAGAATATTATTAAGAACAAGAGCTGCCATTTTAGATATTGTGAACAAATGAAGAGTGTGCAATTCAAATCAAGAGATTTGTTTTGGTCATTTATGCAGCAGACTAGCAATTAAAATGGTCAGATATTACGTCTAAAATATTAAGAAAAGGAAAATAGCTTCAGACCTCACTTACCCCATCCAAAACAGACAATTGCTTAGATAATTGTTCAGCAAAGGCTTCTGCATTGCTGATAGCCATTTGACATTCAGACATGAGCAGATCAAGATCTGATTCCTCCTTAGATGATAGTGCTTGGTAGTCTTCATCAACCATAGCAATGTCATCAGTTCCTGGAACAATCTGGCTTTGACCAGTTGGACGTGACACTTCTATAAACAAAGACAACACAATTATCAATAACAAGTGTGCCAAAGCAACTTCATTTGATTTCAACAACTTCTATCGGTTTCAACATTTTCCTATTTGTTAACAATATTTTAGACAGTAAATTGATTCGCTTATCACAAGTTTTATAATCGATTTTATGGGATGGAAATCCATGAAAAGAAAAATAAATTTGATAATAGAACAGGAATTTGGCCATTAAAAGTTATGACAATTTAGCAGCGCAATTTTTAGGTTCAGAAGTTTTATATTTTGTCTACAGTACAATACAAAATATCTCTCTCTCTCTCATATATATATATATATATATATATATATATATATATATATATATATCACTATTAGCAAACATATGTAGATATATATCTCCTGACACTTACCAAATGTAAACATGATTATATTATTTTCACTACACCTATCACAAATTCTCAAGCATACTGATCTTACCACACATTGTTTCAGTTTAAAAAACAGCCCCAAAAGAAAACTTAATAATTGAAAAGAATTAAATAAACTTGTCTTCTTTAATTTACTCATCAGTTGTAAAGGTAAACTTGGACACAAATTGTATATAGATTAGAAATAGAGAGAGAGAGACACACAGATAAATATTGATTTCCTTTACCTTCCAATAAAGATTTAGGAATATTTGGGAACTCTGCTTTCTGTACTCTGTATCTTTGGCTTAACTGGTCAAAAGAAAAGTAAACTTCATCAATAGAACAAATGAATAAAATATTCAAGGCTCAAAACAATTTTCAAATTTGTTATGTCAGCTTCAATATAAAAGAGTGTTAAATTATGTTTCTTTGTGAAAGTGAACTAGTTGCTTTAACTAGGTATCCCAAACTGCCATAGTTTAAAGTGCAAAAACGTGTCAAAGTAGTGAAATTTCCTTTCATTTCAACTGCTGATATCTTGTTTATGTTTTAGGCATTTGGATAAAATCAGTATGTAAACAAAATTAAATATTTTCTCTTTCTAAAGATACAATACTTTTTCATGTGTGATGATTAGTTTTTACTGCACATCTCTTTAAATTATGTCACTATTTCAATGACAAACAGTGATTTTAGTGGCATTTTTCAAATTATTTTCACTCAGAGTTGTGTCTTGCTTCACATATCAAAATAGTCTCATAATAAAGAAAAAAGGATCTTGTCAATTTGGTGGGTGAAGCATAAACTTTGAAGTTGTTTTTCACAAAAAATTTTGAACTTAAAAACTTTATTGGATGAAATACTAGAGAAATTCAATGCTTAAAAAATTGAAATTTACACCACCTTGTAGAGCAATGTCATGTCTTTAATAATCAGTTAGTTTAATATCTCTGCACCCAAACAATTAAATGCACACATGAATGAAAAAGAGGGTATACTTATATTAAGTTTATTTTGTGTAAAACAGTTAGGACCTATGTGTTGAAATTTATATTGCAGACTGAATGAATGAACACCAACAGGTGAATCCAATTTTATATCAGATTTGTTTCATCGATGGATATTACAGTTTTAATTTATTTTGTATATTTTCTTTAATGATGCATTTTAAAACTGTATAAAGCAATTATTTATTTATTTTTAAAATAAGTGCAAGTAAATCTCAGCTGGAAGCTCCTCTTTGCAGCTACTTGATGATGTGAAAATAAGTTGATTGATCTCCTCTAAGACAAAGGAAAGAAGAAAAGGCACTCAGTAATTCTGAGTATTTAAACAACTCTAGCAGTTGTGAAAAAGAAAAACCACCTCAGGTGACCTTCAGTTATGAACGCCAAGGCCAATGGGTTGCAGTATATTATGACTCCAACTTTTACATTGGCCAAGTCATTGATATTGCATCTCCATTCAATGCTGTGATAAAAGGTTTTAGTTCCAACAAAGAGCAAAAATGATTATTTCTGATGACCTTTGTCAGATGATATTGCACAAAAGGAATCAACATTTGTCTTCAGATGAGACATTGATGTAATGTCAGTTTTAAGTGATGGCTGGATATGGAATGTTCCAGAAATATTAGACATAGAGGCTTATAAGGAAATTCAATCAGCAAAACACCATTAGGAGAGCAAGTGCAAGAGAACCATTCACAATGTTTAGAAAGTTTTTTATATCAGTTTAAAACTAGTGAAGTTTAAAGCACTATTATAAAGTATTTGTTTTCCTTTTGTAAAACAAATTTCTAAGTTTTATAGTCATTACTGTTCTGTTTTGGAAGAGTTGAAAATTATAGAATTTAACAAACATACATATATTACAAAAAGTACTGACATTACAGTGAAAAGAACTTTTTGTTGAATTCCTCATCCCAAAATTAGTAACGTTTCAAACTTTCAGATATGTACTGCCAATAGATACATTTTTATGGCAAGTTCAATAAGGTATACATTTGACATGTTTTTGCCCTACTGTCAAATTGCACCCTTGTGGTGTACATAGTTTTTTTTTTTTTTTTTTATTGAAGTACTACTGGAAAAAAAAATTAGCTTCCTCTCTTTTGTGCTATAAAATATAGGAAGAAATTGCAAGGCATTAACTGTCGCAATGAAACTTATATGAGCAGACAAATTTACCCTTTCATTTCATATTTTTATGGTTTTAGTTTTAAGAACAAAATTTTCCCAATGTTTCAGCTGGTCTGATTTAAGAATTATGGATTCCATTAGCATTATCCTTCTTTTACTAATATGACATTACATTTATAAGGATTTTTAGCTTGTTTGAAGTCGGCATCTTCATTCATAGACTGTTAAAATTGGCTTATTGTTCAATAAAAAATATAATTTTTATGAACTTTGAATGGTCATAACTTTGTTGTTAATTAAGTTAAAAATGATTAACTTTTAATAAGCAAATAAAAAATAGCCTAAAAAGTAGAGATCTGTTTCTCAAAACAGCACCTCCTCATTGCTCTTAAAAGACAATACTTTGATGACTGAAGTTTGACCAAGATATCCAAGTTTTGGGGGTTTTTATTTTACAAAAGCTCACAGTATAGAAAAGACTGTGTTATATTCTGCCTCTATTGGAGATGCAGAATAAATACACTCAATCTTTTTCCTTCTCAGAGGGAAAAATTCTACCAGTTATTTACATTTTGAGCAAGTTCTCCGATTACAGCCAAACTTTTTTTTTACCACTTACCAAACATGATTCATCTTAGAACAACAAAATATTCTTTTCATGTTGTGCAAGTATTGATTTTTACCTAAACATAGGAATATGAAAATCAAATCTTTATTGGTTACTTTGTTTGAATGCACAGCTGTAAAATCAATAATCATTAATCATTTGAGAATTTTCCTTTCAATATTCAAGACCCAGATAATAGCATTGATTTTTACACAAGGGTTTAGGTTTAGCAGTAGCATTTTTAGAATGTTCTATTCATGTTAGTCACATATGAAATGGATCTTTCATTATTCTAAAAATGTCTTAATACTTACTCTCCAGAGACAAGATATGAAGCTAGATTTCTCTGTAATGTTGCTGGCAACCCATTTGTAAACTTTCTCAAAGTGAAGATCAAATTCTGCAGTTTCATGGAACTAAAGAAAGAAGATAAATAAATTTTCAAATAAGAAAAATAATTATACTATTTTCACGTTGATATGTCAATAATAGTCACTAACCAAAATTAAGCTATAAAGAAAACTTTAATAATAAGTTCTTGCCACAAGTGGTTGGTTAGTTTTGTATGAGAGTGGGATGAAAAGTTCATAGGCTGTCTATGAAGGAGACTGATGCTAGATGGACACCCAAACACTCTAAAATGTTTGTATTGGATCTTCCAGCATGAATTCCAAGAAGTACAGCATGCCATTTCCAAATTTCTGGTGGAGTGAATTGTGTCATGGTGCTCTTTTTCTCACAGACGGTGCCCAACTGACCCTACTATACTGCACAGTCGACAAAATCAATTATGCACAAAATTAAAAATATAAAATGGCGACAATTTACCCATCACACCCTGTACATGGGGTTTAGATTTCTGCTCATTTCTCAGACATAAAATATGGGAAGTTATCTTATACATGAGTATATATGGTAAGCTGAAAATTTATCAATCCATAGATTTTTGTTTTGCCACAAAAATTAAAATGTTTACAGCAACTCAGCTGTATATTTTAGATAGGACAATGACAGATTTTTTTTCTTTGTTACACACTGCAATCATATAAGTTGTATATGGAACTAATTACTACTTGATAAAATGATATCAGAGTTGTTAACAACATCACAACATACCTTATTGATATCTTTGCCATCAACTACCTTCAGTTCTCTTAGAAGCCAGGATAATTTTTTCTTATAAGAATCTCCTTTGTCAGTTTTTTTTAATTGATAAATGTGAGCTTGGATGGGACTGTCAATGGTCACTGTAAGTAGAATAAAATATAAAATGAGCAAATAAAACACCATTAGACAAAATACTTGTAATTCTTGAAACTCTTTTATTGATTTAATGAAATTAAAATGCAATTATTTATATATTTCATAAATTCAGTGAAGACAACTTCAGGCATACAAGGAGGCGGGGGCAACAGACTATGATACAAAGCATCAGCACAAATGTTGGTGTCATAGAGAGGAACACAGGTAAACAGACTACTGATGTCAAAAGAGCACATGAATTTATCATTAGATGTGGTGACAAATTTCATCAACTCATTGATGAAATTTGTCACCATGTTTATGGAATTCAGCTTTGACAAGATGATGGATAGGTAAGAGATATCTATGGGTAGTCCATTAGGCTCAGTCATGGCCAATATATTTGTTGGTTTGTACAAGCAAGATTCATTTGCTCATATTAGAAGACCAAATTGTTATTTTTGGTATATCAACAACACTTTGTGTGTTCAATAGTGAGGTTGAAGTTAGGGTATTTCATCAAGCACTAAATGAATAATACCCAGCTTTACAATTTATGGATGAAAAGGAGAACAATGGTTTTTTTTTTTCTTTTTGGATGTCTCAATGGACAGATTAGATTTGTTATTTCTTATACCTGTGCACTGAAAGTCAATCTTCACTAGTTTGTGTATATATATATATATATATACACACACACACACACATATACACACATACATACACACACACACATTCTTTCTGAATAAGACAGCAAAAGATAAATCTTCTTAAGACCTTGGTTTGTTGTGCCTTAGTAATTTGCTCAAAGACAAAATTAAATTCCAAAATTGAATTTATTAAGCTTTGTGTGAAATGCATAACCTCTTGATATGGAGGTTAGCATTATGGGGTGCATGCAGCACCTTTGAAAAATACATGAAAAACGTACTATGGGTTGACAGAAGCCTTGTGAGTGAAATTAGGTAGATGGAATTATTTGGGATCCATCAATGGTTGAGCTAACACAAAGTCACAAGTCATCGTGACTGAGGGTTTGATCATAGTGCCCTTGTTCAGATTGTAGATCATGCCAGATAATGTGCTCTCTCCCAGAAACTGTAACTAAGGTCTGCTCAGCATAGTTGCAGTATTAACCACAGGTGTCTTCTGTGGATGATGAACAAACACAAATATGCCTGAGCAGGTGTCTGCAATAGAGATTGGCTAGCCACCCTAACAGAGAGGTATACTCATATACAAGCAGCCAGCCATTACTTACTATTACTAGATTGGTGATGTTAGTGCCAGCTTTGCTAGGTACATTTCTGCTGGTGTGAAAAGCTGTTATCTGTCTACCAATCCATGCATTATCTTTATTGTCCAACCAACGTTAAGAAGCATGTGCCTCATCCCAAACATATTAGTTCCATAATTTATCATTTTAAATGTCAGCATGACACTGACTACACAGGTAGAACAGGTCAGAGGTTGAAAGTAAGGATTAATCAGCATATACCAAGCAATATTCAGAAATGGGTAATTTGGATGGGTGTGTAACTTCAATGTGCCAGGTCCTATAACCAAGACATATTCTCTGTGCTGAGGAAGACTTACTCTGATTTTTACCTTAAAGTTTTATAGTCAATCTATATTAAGTCCATCCAGCCATCCCTCTATAAGGAGGAGTTGCTGTTAGGTTTAAGTATAATTAGCCTTTATTGTTTATATAAAATCCTGTGGGTGGAATTTGGGAAAAAAATTTCATTTAGTTAACTTTAGTAATATTACCTATGATATCATTAATTTAATTATTCTTCATTCCTGGTAGATAATTCTGAAACTCAAAAATGAAAACATTTAAAATTAGGATGAGAAAGATTTATATGAATCAAAGTGACAGATTGGAAAAATGAAGAGGTCTTTGAAAACCTACCTGCAGCACAAAGGAAGCTGTTTTTCTTCTTTTTACCTGCTTTTGTAACATGGACGAGACCAACTAATCTCTCTTCAGCGGGAAGGAACACTTCCCGCTGAAGTGTATGCTTGATGGCTGTCATGACTACCTGAAGAAAAAAGAAACACCACATTTCAAATAAGTAATCATTTGGGAAAAAAAGAAATGAATAAAAATCATCCAGAATTGTATGCCATTTGATTTATTTTTTATCTTGACAACCAAGCACAAAGTTTATGGCAAGAATAAATTAGGTTCACACTTGAAGGTTTTGTAAAAAGATTACTGCAAAATCTGCAGTTCTATCTAAAATCCAAAATTTGTGATACTTTTAAATAATTACTTAACTACAAAAAGAAAATTCGAAAAAGATAAAAGATCTAATACTTGTAAAATCTACAATATTCAACACATGCATGAGATAATTTAAAAGATATTCTTAATAATGAACTTAAATTTGAAGTAGTGTATATGCCAAAACTAATATCAACATGATGCAAAGCAAGTTTTTTTCAAATAAACCAGAATTAAATCTTTTCAGGTTATTTCATAGAACATTATATTAGGCTGGTGCAAAAATAATGTCGTTTTCTCACATATGTTACTTTTATATATGATTTCTGAATTAATTCATTGATATATATAGCCATGTTATATATCATTTTTTTAGCGTTTTTTTGCTCTATCGAATCGTGTTATTTCGTTACCGTTCTCAATCTCTTCATTCATTTTTTTGCAGGCTTTTCGACAGCATGGACAAAATTCAAATCCGCACGATTTTCTTGTTCCAGTTCAAACTAGGTTGAAAAGCTGCCGAGACAGATTGTGATATCATTGATGCGTTTGGCCCAGGAACCACTAACGAACGTGTGGCACAACGGTGGTTCAAGAAATTTCGCAATGGTGACGAGAGCCTCGAAGATGAAGACGGTCGCGGCCGCCCGACTGCAGTTGATAACGAACATTTGAAAGCCTTAATTGAAGCCGATCCTCGCAAAACCACATGAGAAGTTGGTGTTGAACTCGAGGTCGGTCACTCAACAGTTGTTTGCCATTTAAAGCAAATAGGGAAGTCAAAAAAGTTGGATAAATGGGTGCTGCATGAATTGAACGATAATCAAAAAATCGCTATTTTGAGGTGTCTTCTCGCTCCTTCTGCGCCCAACAAAAAAACGACCCATTTCTCAAGCGGATTGTGACGTGTAATGAGAAGTGGATCCTCTACGACAACTGGCGACGTTCGGCACAGTAGTTGGATGCCGGAGAAGCTCCACAACACTTCCTGAAGCCGAAATTGCATCAAAAAATGGTTATGGTGACTGTTTGGTGGTCTGCGGCTGGTCTCATCCATCACAGCTTCTTGAATCCGGGCGAAACGATTACAGTGGAGAAGTACTGCCGACAAATTGACGAAATGCACCAGAAGCTCTAACGTATGTGCCTGAGATTGGTCAATATGAAGGGACCAATTCTCCTCCATGACAACGCCACCGCATGTTGCTCAACTGACCCTGCAGAAGCTGAACAATTGGGCTCGAGACTCTGCCTCATCCGCCATATTCACCGGACCTCTCGCCCACCGATTATCACTTTTTCAAGCATCTCGACAACTTCCCTGCGCAAAAAATGCTTCAAAAGCCGAGATGATGCTGAATCAGCCTTCAATGACTTCATCGCTTACAGAACTCCGGATTTCTATGCTAATGGGATAAATAAACTTGTTTCTCATTGGCAAAAATGTGTCGATTCTAATGGTTCTTATTTCGATTAATAAAGTTTATTATGAAAGGAGTTATGATCTTTTGAAGTTGAACGTCAAAAAACGACATTATTTTTGCACCAACCTAATACCTTTTAAATAGCCTTGTAAGAATAGAGGAGGACTAATGGACAATATAAGGCTTTTGAAAAGGTCTTGAATGCCAGATTTTCCATCAAATAATCTATAACAGAAAATGTTACCTGATCAAAAGCCAGCATATCAAAGTAGGTTTTCTTCAAACATTCAGCTGATTACTTTGTATAGCACAAGTCAGGGTTATCTAGAGCTATCCAAATAAGTGGATTTCTTCAAGAGCAAATCCAAGCATTAAAGACAATTCCAGAAAGACCTTTAAACCATTGGGGGTGACAAATGACTTTTACCAGAGTAATCAACCCATGGAACTCCTTTTCTATAGTCAGTACCACAACACTGGACTTGTCCAAGAGAAGACTGGAAAAGAGTAATCCAAACAAGTATAGAGAAACTTTTATGGGATCCATGTCTGAAAGGCACATAAGCTTTAGCTTCAATGTCTAAACTACACAAGATGCATTATTTCTATTCAGACTAACCAAGTTTGAGCTGGTGCCCACTCAAGCCTTCTTTGGGTGTCTGTTGATCCAGGTAAGCTTCAGGAAATTTTAAACTGAAACATGGCAAGCAATAACTAAGTTGTACTAAAAAAGAAAACAATGAAATACCCTAGACATGAGCAGTAGAACAAGAACAATCTATATCCGAGAATTAAAGAGTTCAGTTTGAAATTCCCTGAAGGAGACTAGAGGGCACAATGACCAAAATATTGGGATAATAACAAAGATGAGGACATTAGTCTGAATATAAATAATGATAACTCCACATCTCAGAAATTCAAACAAAAAATACACAATATAAGTTCTTCCTTTAGCTTTCAAATTGTGCATATTTAAAATATTTAGATCAATAAATATTCACTTTAAAAGAAAACCCTTGTATATACAGCAGGAGGGGGCATTTTTCCTTATTCACTTCCAATAGGTGTAGAAAAATAAAAGCACAGGTATTCATGCATGGAATACACTTTAACTTGCAAGTCCTTACTAATAACTGTTTTATTCTGTCTTAGTTGTGAATATACAGTAAGGTGTGACTATTGAGTCAGTAGAATACAAAACTGTAATCAGGCTTTTGTTTTTGAAAAGTAAACAATTTTGGCAGTAATGTATGGATGAGATGTAGAGATCCTGTAGAGTTAAATACTGCTATCATCATTTCAATTATAGTCAGACTTCAGTGGAAACAACCTCTATTCCTAGCTGCCCTCAGTCAACCATTGATAATGAGGCCATCTAACAAATAGAGATTACGATCTTTGATCAATTTGGTCATACATCAAGGAAAGCAAGAGAATTTATTGTTTGACTACACAGGATGAAATATTTGGTTCCCCCTTTTTTTTGGTTCCCAGAGACTAAGGCACAGTCAAAATAACAGAAGCACAGTGATTCCCTGACCATCTAAATAGGCAAATGCTAAGAAAACTAGAAAACCTACCAGGATTTATTCTCAGAAGACACAATCTTAACAATATAAGATATAGAGATAACTGCTGATAGTAGACTCAGACAGTAAGAACATCAGGCAAAGTAATAAATGAAAGCTAGAAGTAAAGAGTAACAAGAGAAAATGTATGGTTTTCAGCAAGAGGGAAAACCAAAGGTGAAAGTGATGAACTGGAAATATCAGAATCAAGTAGTTAAAAAAATTTAGTTATCTTCTTAGAGTCATAACAGATTATGAAAAATGTGACTCAGAAATTCACAATGTAATAGCAGACGATGACTTCCAGAAACTAAAAGAATTAAGACAGAGAAATTTTGTTACAAACGAAGTGTGCTGAACTATAAAATATTGATCCTCTTAAATGGCAGTGAATGTTGGACAATTTCCTCACATATGAAAATGAGACTTGAAACGAGATCTAGTTCTACAGAAGGATGCTGAAAATATCATGGGCAGAACATGTGAATAATGAGCAATTTTTTAAAGCAATTAAGTCCTCAAATTACCAGAATGACATTTTCAGGGATGAGTTTAGCTTAAGCAGGGGCAGGCAAAAATTGCCTTGGTGGATCTCTTAAAAATGAGGACTGCAACAATTTTTTTTTAGAATTTGCAAAATTTATGTTTTTTATTCGTAAAAACTAAAGTAATATTAACTTAAAATCTTTTAGAAATTGATAAAAATAAACAAAAAAGTTTAAAATCAAATATTTTTATTGACAAATAACAGATTTGTGATGATTAGAATTATCAGTAATGATACAGTGGAACATTTTCAAAAAAGAAATCAAACATTGCAACATTATTAGCTTATGTTGTGGAAAGAACGAGATAAAAATATCAAGATTTGTCAGCATAAATAAAATCAAAATAGTTTGAAATAAAAAAAAAAAAAGTCATAAAAAAAACCATCCTAAAGTTTCCGAAATGAATATTAATTAGTAATTTCTTAAAAATATTTTCACGACTAATTTTGTTGCATAGCATTCAGAAGAACTCAGGCAATTTGTCAGAATCAAAAACATTCATTTTCTAATATTTTAGATGGGGGGGGGGCTGTTTGCAATATAAATACATCAAACTGATCCCTGACTTGTTGACATAGTTACTTGTTTCCTTTTTGAGGGAGACCAGTATTGCTGTTTTAAAATTAAATGTAACGTGTGTGTGTGTTCATTTCATTTCAAGTCGAGTAGTAGACATAAGTTGCAAGATTGAAATGAACTTATGTTTAACAAAAAAAAAAAACATTTTTGTTGAAATTCCTTTCATCTACCGCTTTTCTTTGAAAATATATCTACATAGCATAGGACTCTTAGTCAAATTTTTCTTGAAAAATCCCCACGACCGCTTTAAGAAAAACGTAACATTTCGTTCTTAAATTAAAAAAGTGGTTTTATTGTTGTTTTTTTTTTAAAAGTTGAAGGCAAAAATTGCCGTGGATGTGGCTTGTTTTTAAGGGCACCTCGGCATTAAATATGGTCACGGTCTAAAATTTAGAGACTCTTCATCCCTGCATTTCATTTAACTTATGATCAGATTGCTGAGTGATAAGTTATCAAAAAAACCAAAAGGATAGCTGAGTGGCCAGGCTTAAAGGGAGATCAAACTTACTCTCAAAAGAAAACCACAAAATTAAACAACACAAAGTAGCTTTCAACAAAATAAGAATTTAAAAAAATCAAACCTAAAATGAAACAGGACAAATAAATTAGGTAAAGTTAAATTAGCTTTGGTCATTGATGAGTGCAATAGCAAGTACTAAAAGTTTAAAACAAAAAATAAAAAAAAACTTGACGTATATACGTTTTTTTAGTAAATGTCAATTTTTTTGTTTTGTTTTTTCAAACTGCAAGTGAAATCCAATTTTGTTAAAAGACATTTTCATTTATTTACCAATGATAGAATTGAATAAATGCTTATCTTAAAACAGGAAATTTACAAGTTTTTGCATTGTTTTTTTTTTTTAATTTTAAATGACATTAAAAATGGGATGATGGTATTTCTTTTTAGTTTTTTTACATTGATTTTAAACTACAAACGAAAATCACTTCCAACAATACAATCAACGTTTTTCTTATTATCGCTGATATAAAAAAAATCATTGAAGTTCTGAGGGAACAACATTAAAAACAATCTACAATTAAAATTTGTAAACAACACTAAAAAGAAGTGATAAATGACAGAAGTTCATTCTTTTTATATTTATTAATAAACTAAAGCAGTATGACATTAAAAGGTAATTTATTATATCAGCATTTAGTTTTCATAGACTACATAGCAGGATGTACACAAACATTAATAAATCTACATAGGTCTACTGATATACCTACGTACGTCCGAAAATGCTGTAAGAAAAATAGTCGATTGTCCTTTAATCTACACCCATTCCGGGTCAGCCATTGAGATTGAAAACGAGGCTGATAGTCGAATGTAACCGATTTAGTATAAGGAAATTTATGTATTAGTTGTGTCTCACTCAATGTTAATTTCATAAAATATTCTTGGAACTGCACGATTTGATGACAAATGTTTTTGTATTTTTATCATTTGAAATAAATAAAAAAAATCAAGATTATTTTTTTGCAATATAGTACATTGGACAAAGTGTTACATTGATTCTCAGATAATATACCAGAGCATTTATTTACCTATTGCAATAGTTGGGAAGAAAATGTAAATGAATCAGGTGAAAAACTACCAATTAGTTAGCAAATGCTAACTCCTTCACCTCATCACGATAAAGAAGATTATAATTTTTAAAATATTGCTGAAAAATATAATAAATACACAAAAAGAACATTGTTATTAATGGAAAAATGTATCTTTAAGGTCAGTATATGCTGCAGCCTAGGGTCCCTCAATCTTTTATAAAGAAATGATTTTAATTTTCCAGATGTTATAACTTCTAAATAATTTCATAAACTGAAATGATATCAATATGGCAAACTTATATTTATTTTGATTATTTTATTGTTATAATTCTGGTTATAAAATTTGTTATTTTTTTTTTACTACAGTTGTATTGAAATATGTGTTAATAAATAATAAAATAGAGGTATTTCTTAACATTCATGGATAGGCAAATATTTAATTATTTCTCCTTATATATTTTATATTCAAAGTATTTAATATATTCAGCTCAAATGTTAGGTTAGTAGCAATAATTGAAATTATTGTTTCTTAAAAAAAATCTTATGTATCCAATATTTTTACTTTTCCCTAAAAATCTATCTATCTATCTATCTATCTATCTATATATATATATATATATATATATATATATATACACTACAGTTCAAAAGTTTGAAGCCAACCCCAGAATTACCATGGAATGAACTTGACAGAAGAGTGAAAAAAATGAAATAGTGCTCTTAGAGTCATTGAAAAAAGAATTGGGTCAATTATCAAACTTATACATTAAGAAAGTTTTGCAACAAATGCCAAAAAATTGTGCTAGAGTAATCAAGGCTGAAGGAGGATATTTTGACAAGAGCAAAATTTAACCATAAAATTTTTCTTTTTGTCATAATAAAATTTCTAATAAATATATCATGTCTTACTTCTTTTTAAACATGTATAATAATTTTCTCTTTTTTAAAGTACAAAACAACTAAATTTTGGGCCAATTCAAAAAATTATCAGGGGTTTCCTCAAACTTTTGAACTGTAGTGTATATATATATATATATATATATATATATATATATATATATATATATAGTGGTAATGGTAATATTAGCTGTTTCTCTTGGTGTGGAGGAGATATTGTTGTAGTAGCTGTTCTATGTTGGGCCCCTTCCCTGCTGCTTGGACAGAATCCTCAGATCTGTTCTGTAGCAAGGTTTTGATTGACTATGACAAGCTAAGACAAGTTATGACTAGAAATTGACCAGTGGTTCCCCATGTTAAAACAAACTGACCTTGTATCACATCCTGACTCAGTATGGAGTTGAAGAAGCCAAAATGACAAATTAAAATCAAATTGGATCTGACCCTGCACATGTGGGTTCTAACCAAATATTGAACAGTAGTTTGAGTATCCACACCCAGGTTCCCCATGTTATGCCCTGTCCTTGTGTCACATCTTATCTCAATGGGGAGGCTATGAGTAGATTCCAAACAGATTTTTGCAACCAAAATGAGAAATCAAGACCAGTTTTGGACCTGATGCCACTGCGCTCAGTTTCCCCATGACCTTGTGTAGCATTTTGCCTCAGTGGGAAGGCTATGCATAGATTCCAAACAAGATTTTTGCCACCCTCAAAATGATAAATTTAGACATGTTTTTGGCTTGACACTACTCACATAGGGTCTGGGCAAATTTTGACTAGTGGCCTGAGCACCCATACTCAGGTTCCCCATGTTAAGGCCTGACTTTGTGTTACATCCTACCTCAGTAGAAAGGGTAATCATAGATTCCAAGCAGAATTTTTGCCTCCAAAATGACAAATTAAGACTAGTTTTGGCCTTGACACTGCTTGCATGCAATCTAGAAAAATTTTGTGCAGTGGCCTGAGCATCCCCACTCAGTTTTCCTATGATAACCTTGTGTCGCATATTGCGTCAGTGAGAAGGTTATGGAAAGATTCTAAATGGAATTTTTGCTGCACCCAAAATGACAAAATTAAGACCAGTTTTGGGCCTGACACTGCTTGTTCAAAGCCCAGTAGAACATGATCCTAGGCCTGCTAACAAATGGTTGAAGCCATGATAACAAGGCCTACAGCATGGTAAGAAATGGACATATCCCATTAGCACATGATCCATAGCCCAATAGAACATGGCCCACTTCCTGGTAGCACATGGTCCATTTCCCAATAGCACATGGGCTACAGCCTGGGAACTCATGGTCAATGCCTGGTAAAATATGGTCCAGGGCCCAGTAACTTGTGAACCTGGCTAAGCAGAACATGTCCAGGGCTTGATAGCACTTGATCCATAGACCTGTACAACATGGTCAATGACATTGTACAATATCTTCCAGTGATGTTAACTCATGTTTCATAGATGAGAAGAAAGAGAGCCCTGTTACATATGATCAATGGCTCAGTATAATTGACCTGGTACAATATGGTCCAGGGCCCTGAAACTCATGGCCCACAGTCCAGTAGAATGTGCCCATGTACAATATGAACCAGGGCCTAGTCACTCATGAGCCCTGTAACACATGCTCCATGGCCTGGTAGAGATTGCCAATAGCCCAGTAGCACATGGTAGAGAGACGTGTACCAGATAGTTAATGACCCAACATGGTCCTGGCCCTAGTACCACATGATCCACGGCCTGGTAAAAAGTAACCATGGCCTGATAGCACATGGCACACTCATGGTTCATGCTGCAGTTCCCTGTACCACAGTGCAATATGGTCAAGGGCCTTGTAAATCATGATCCACAGCCAGGTAGCACATGCCACGAGTGCTGTGCAACATGGTCAATGGCCCAGTACAATGTCACTCATGTTCCACAGCCCGGAAGAACGTATCCACAGCCTGATAGCACATGATACACAGCCCTGTACAACATGGTCAATAGCCTGGTACAATATTGTCCAAAGCCCGGTAACTCATGTTCTAAGGCCCGGTAGAACGTGTCCAGAGGCCAGTAGCACATGATGCAAAGCCCTGTACAATATAGTCAATGGTCTGGTACAATTGGGTCCAGGGCACGGTAACTCATAGTCCACGGCAAGATAGATCACGTTAAACACTGACCACCAGCGACCTGCGATCACAAGGAACCAGCAACCACCATCGATCATCAATGACCACCAACGATCATCAGCAACCTGCGATCACCACCGATTATCAGTAACCAGCAGCGATCACCACCTACCAGCAACGATTACCATCGACCAGCGACCAACTGACTTCCGCCGTCTTCTACCAATCCACTCGGCGATTCAGGCTTCACTCTCTGTTACACATCATCTCGCGGATCATCGTGGCTTCAACCGCCTACCCACGGCTAAGACTGCCTGCTAGTACCATCTCAACACGCCAACTGTCAATCGAGCTTTGCTGACTGCCTATCATCTTTCGATACCTCCCAAGCGGTTTCGTCTTCATTCTTCTGGTTACCAACAATGGTCTGCCCTGGGCTATGACTGGCAACTAGTACCAACCCAATTCACCAACTGTCTATCAACATTTGGCACCACTCAAGCTGCTCCGTTCATCATCAACTGTTGACGCAACAGTAAACTACCAGCAGTAACTCCTAGAGCATTTGAAACATCCGGATTCTTCAATTGTATTTTTCTTTTTTCCGCCAATAATAAATTTTGGCGTATTTTATCTAAACTCCTTGTTCTTGATATTCTTGTCCCTGCTTGTGTCACTTCTTCAATTTTAATATTTGCAGGGTTCGTCTAACATCGATATTCGAACCCTACGACACCCTACAAGGAAACATTTGGCATTCATTGATTCGATCAGCTAGTACTACTTTTGGTTGAAATTTATTAAAATCTTTCTCTAAAAATTTTTTCATGAAAATAGGTTTTTCAAGTCCTTTATCTGTTAGCACTCATTCCAGTATCGAGGGAGGGTTCCTTCCTAACGTTTTTTTTAAGTAGGGTGGGGTGTCAACATCTTCATTATTATTTTCTCTTTGAGTTACATGTTCTATTCATTTTATTTATTGCTGTTGTTAGTAGTCCTTAAGTGATGTGGGTTTTTTTATATAATTGAATAAATAATTACAAATATCTATCTATCTATCTATCTATCTATCTATCTATCTATCTATCTATATATATATATATATATATATATATATATATATATATATATTGTGTGTATTAAGGAAGCATTTTTTCATTGATGCATGTCTCATTAAATAATATAGACAAGTTTTGTCTATTTATTTTATGTAAATTCTTCTCATATCGTCTGATACGCTTAATAACATTATCATTAAATGAAGAAAGAAAATCAAAATATTGATAAATATATATATATATATATATATATATATATATATATATATATATATATATATATAAAATAATTAGAAATAACGGCCACCACTGTATATGTACATCAGGCTCTTGATAATAATGGCGAAGCTTGAGCTGTGACTCTAGATATCTCGAAGGCATTTGACAAGGTATTTGGAATGCTGAGCTTCTACATAAGCTCCAGGGCTACCGTATTACTGGACGTGTGTATGATTTAATCCAATTGTTCCTATCAAATCGTGAAACGAAGGTCGTTTTGAACGGGCTCACTTCCAGATCCTTTGGCACGAACGCATGTGCCTCCCACCCCCAAAGCTCTATCCCGAGTCCTTCGCTGTTTCTGAACTTCATCAATGATCTCCCTGATGACACCAGTTCCCAACTAGGCATTTATGCTGATGACATTATCATTTACTCCTGTCTCAATAGCAAATCTGTCAGAGCTGACAAAGTCAACCTGACCGCTGCTCTTGAAAAGGACCTCCAATCAGTGGTTAACTGGGACAGGAAATGGCTCGTAAATTTTAATGCCTCCAAAACAAAACTGCTCTCATTTAACCACCACAGAGACACTTTCCTACCCACTATCAGCATAGCTAAACTCATGGAGAGCAACACACTGCACCTTCTTGGCCTAACTACATCGAATCAATAGCTACTGCAAAAAGAGTTGAGTCACTGTATTGTGCCAGAAGTTTTTTCTTATCAGAGTCTATCTTGTACATTTACAAATATACTATTCATCCATGTATTGAATATTGTTGCCATATCTGGTCAGGTGCTCCTGCTATTCATCACAAGGTTCTTGACAAAATCCAAAGAACGATCTTCAAGTTAATTGATCCTGACTTGGCATCTCAATTTCAGTCACTTTCTCACTAACGTAATGTGACTTCCCTTTGTCTTTTCTACAAATATTTTCATGGCTACTGCTCTGACGAGCTTTTATTCCCTGGTGCCTAGACTATGTGTGTTTTTAAGCGTGTTACTAGATTGGCATCAAGGCCCGACACTTTTACTGTTAATAAGGTAAATGTATCCGCAACTTCTACTCCAACAGTTTCTTTTCTTAAACTTCCCACCTGTGGATCACCCTTCTGTTTCTTTGCTTCCCTGATAACTGATCTTCAAAAATTTAAATGCAACATCAATCGCCATCATTTCTCTTCTTGAACCCCGTTCAGCTTCTATCCTTTCGTCTGTCCCCTCTACACCTAGTCTTTTCTCTCTCCTTCACTCTCTGTAACTTCCTATGTACTAGTGGCATTCCCACCTTGCTTGGAGTGAAATGATTACAAAAATAAAATAAAGGCACACGCACATATAGATTTTTTTAAAATTGTGTTCACACTAGCAAGGCAGCAAAGCCACTAAGACACAATTTTTTTTAATCACGTGGAATAATTAGAAAACAAAAAACTTACTAAGGAGCAATAACAAAAGAAGACTAATAGACTATAGAAAGAAATTGACATTGCATTTAAATTTCAGAAGATTAAAGTTGGCATGAAAGCATGGAGTTGGAAGAGAGTTCCACAATCGCGAAGTGCGAGAAAAGAAACTGTTAGCATAGAACTTGCAGTTACATCTAGCCAACACAACTGTATTGTATATAAATTCATAAAGTCTAGTTACCTTGGTAAAGAGCTGATCCAAACAATTGCCATGGAAGTATTTATAGAAAAGACAAAGGGGGGTAACTTTACAGTAGCGGGAAAGTGAATGAAGCCGAGACACCAAATCTGGACCAATGATATTGCTGATTCTTTGGATTTTATCAAGGATCTCTAGATATATGGAGGGAGCACTAGGCATATATGGCAGCATATTTTAAGCATGACCGAAGGGTAAAGGGTAAACTTATAAAGATGTAAAATAGATTCAGGAGGGAAAAATTGTTTAGCATTACACAGTGAACCAACTTTCCTAGCAGTTGATCTAGCAATGGATTCAATATAGTCTTTCCATTTGATGTCAACCGAGAATGTTGGCCTGAGAAGGCGTAACAAGTTATTCTCCTAGAGGTTAGTATCAGCCATGCAAAAAACAGTCTCACAAATGATTAATAGAGAGCAGTCTAGTTGTGAAGGTATTAAATTTAACGCGTCATCCTTTGCCCCAGTTAAGTTATTTCTTTTCAAATACAAATATTATTTGAAATTTAAACATAACCTCTTTTCAAAACTAAATTCTCAATGTATATTGTTTCTACTATCTTTCAAAATAGTTAGTAATTAAAAAGTAAATCTTTTTTTAGAAGTAAAACTTTACTTAAAAACATCTAAATTCCACTCCAAAATAAATAATAAATAATTATTTTTTGAAGTAAGGCTCGCTATAATTTTTGCTTGAAAAATGATTAAATTAGATATGTTTAAATATTGTAATGATTACTACTATGTTTGCTACGCCTACGTTTTTCTCAACTGTGATTGGTCAAATAATAAATACTAAATATCACAAGACAATTTACTGATCGCATTCATCACACTGAATTTTTCCTACCGTTAACTCACAAACATGCTTTTGTTATAAAATCACCGATTGGTTAATTTTTCATCCAATCAGATATTTTCGTGTTCTTTCAAAATTTTTCCCGCGTTAGTTCTGGGAGCCTACCAATAGTAATATAAGTCTGGATTCATTCCCAAATTAAACAGTACAGTGAAGACAGTAGAACTCAACTACTCACACGCGTCTACACAAATTATTCATTCTACTCACTCCGCACGCACACACACAGACACAGAAATGCTCTTAAACACGCAGCCACATTAATCTTTTCAACAAAACACCATTTACATTGGTAACCCCAACGTTTAAG